CTCTTTCTCACTTAAGAGGCACCAATATTCCAAACAAGTATTGAAAGAAAACTACTTCAAGTATGCCATTTTTCAACTATCTCTAAACAATTTCCAAAATTCCAATAACAAACAAGCAAATATGGTCCTCCACATATCAAGCAAGATAATCATGTAAATCAAAACAACTCTACCATCCTTTTGAGTGAACCGGCATCAAATATGTTGCTATCTTAGCAAATCAATAAAATTGGCACAACCAGTCTCAAGCTAGCACACAAATCTAGTACCAATTATCAAGACAAAGAATGAACCTCTTTATTCAATTTATTTCCAACATGCTCTCTTTTTCTTTTCTTTTTTATTTTTTATTCTTTTTTATAGGATCAAAGATAAGAGTATGGTGCAATGTAGTGATCTCTTAAGCTTTGTAGAAGATCCATGTAACGAGCGTTAGGTCAATAACTCCCAAACCGGACGACTTTAGGGCATTACGTGTAAAGACATCCCTAAGGACTTACAAGCTCAAATCAACTAGGTTACAAATTAAAACAACTTTCATCTAATCATTTCCCTACTCCTCACCTTTGGTAAGAAGCGCTGACTTTTCTTTTTCTTTTGCTTTTGCTTTTGCTTCTTTCTTATTATTTATTTTTTTTAGACTATTGTGTGGGCCTTCACTTTTTGGCGCGAGAATTCAATGTTTAATGAGGCTAGAATCCTGGTTACTCGGTAAAAGGGTTTGTTATTATCGTGCAAGGTCATCTTGTCAAGAATGAAAGCTTTTAAAGCTTACTAACCCAATTTGGATATAACCAAAGCAATAATCAACTAAGCATGTACCCCATAAATGAATGCTAGTGTGCGCCTGTGCAAATGTAAAATTCTAAAGTTGAATCTCAAAGCAATCTCACAAACAAGATGATGTGGACCACAAAAGCAAACATGATATCAAACTTTTGAAAATTTTCCTCTTAAATGGCATCCAAAGACATACAAGGAGTATTGAACTCTCAAGTCAAGAAATTTTTTAATTCAATGGAACATAAGCCTCAAAAGATCAAAATCATCGCTAAAACGGATCTCACATCTCAATCATGCAATGAAAGCTCAAACTTAAGTAGAATGCAACAAAGCCGTCTTACCCCCAAACTTAAACCACACATTGTCCTCAATGCGCAAAGTGAATAATAGAAAAGATGGAAAGAGTATACCGTGGTGGCAAAGCCTTTGAAGTCCGGCAATGATCCAATTTGAAAGACGTCTCCCCCAAACTTGAAATCAACAACCTATTTGAAAAACCACATTAGCAAACTCACATCAAATATCACAATGGGATAAAGTGAGCAAATCATACACTCTAAGGCAATATAGAAGAAGATGGAAGAAAGATATGAGATACAGTCAAAACTATTTTTTTTTTTGTTTTTTGGGAAGGATGTATGCTATATGCACAAGGAATTAAAACACAAGAAGAATGAAATGCAGGAATATAATGCAAGAAAATAAAATGCAATATATATATATATATATATATTAGGAAAAACCCACGATCGATCTCAAAATGTACGATCGTTCATGGAGGGTTGCGAACGGTCCCTTGGAACTTGGAATTTCCAACGCACAGGATGATCGATCGTGGAATTCTGCGATCAATCGTGGAATTTCACGAATGATAAAGAAGCGGATGCTTCCAGGGCGATCAATCGCAAAGGTTAGTGATCGATCTTAAGAATTAACGAACGATTCCCTGGGACTTAGAATTTCCGATGCACAGCTACGATCAATCTCAATATTCTTTTCAATGCAAAATGGAGCTCTGTAAACGACGATCGACGTTGGAGTTCTGCGATCGATCGTCAAGTCTTGCGATCGATCGCACTGGAGCTGCCTGGGCACAAAATGCTAAAATTTTTGGAATCATTTCAAAGGCACTAAATGCCTGGAATTTTTCAATGGTGCACAATGGAACTTATCTAGGCGACGCAAGAAGGTAAACAAAAGAAAAAATGGGGAGGGAATAGAATTTGGAAACTCTATGAAACTAGGTTTAACGTCTCTAGTTGACGTCAAATTACTCTCAATCATCAAGGTAGACAGGATCCACCATTAAGGCGGCTTCCACATCTCTTTGAATAGCTTGTCCTACAATGTAGGGTTTCAATCTTTGCCCATTCACCTTAAAGATTTTCTCATCTTTCAAGCACTTGATTTCAACTGGCCCATGAGGAGAAACGAAGATAATCTCATAAGGGCCTTCGCATTTAGTGCGTAGTTTCCCGAAAAAGAATTTGAGCCTAGAGTTGAAAAGCCATGCCTTTTGCCCGAGCTCAAAGGACTTTTTCACAATGTGTTTATCATGAAAATCTTTTGTTCTAGCCTTATAGATTTTAGCATTGTCATAGGCATCATTTCTCAGTTCCTTTAACTTATTTAATTGGAGCAAATGGTTCTCACCTGTCTTATCAAGATCAATGTTAAGCTTCTTGGTTGCCTACAAAGCCTATGTTCTAACTCAATCGGAAGATGACAAGGCTTCCAATAGACAAGTCTATAAGGAGACATGCCTATTGGAGTCTTATAAGCCATCCGGTAAGCCCACAAAGCATCATCTAACTTCCTTGACCAATCCTTTCGATTCGAGTTCATCGTTTTTTCAAGAATTTACTTAGTTTCCCGGTTTGACACCTCAACTTGCCCACTTGTTTGAGGATGGTAGGGAATGGCAACCTTATAAGTGACAGAGTACTTTAAGACAAGTAGCCTCAAGAAGTGATTGCAAAAGTGTTTGCCTCCATCACTATAATTGTCCTTGGCATACCAAAATGAGTAAAGATGTTTGATTTGATAAATAGAACTACCACGGAATGGTCATTCGTTTTGGTAGCACAAGCCTTAACCCACTTGGAAACATAATCAACGGCAAGGAGGATATATTGGAAGCCATAAGACATCGGGAATGGTCCTATGAAATCAATGCCCCAAACATCAAAGATCTCCACAACAAGGACCGGATTTAAGGGCATCATGTCTCTCTTTGACATTGATCCCATTTTTTGGCACCGGACACACACCTTGCAAAAGTTGTAGGCATCTCGATGGATAGTGGGCCAAAAGAGACCACTTTGAAGAACCTTCAAGGCGGTCTTCTTTGCACTAAAATGCCTACCACATGCAAGTGTATGGCAAAACAGAAGAACGCTCGAAAACTCACTTTCTGGCACACATCTTCTTATGATTTGATCTAGGCAATAACGAAACAAAATTGATCCTCCCAATAGTACTTTTGGATATTAGCAAAGAATCAGTCGACCAATCAACGGGAAGTTTGCCAATTGCAAGGTAATTTATAATTTCGGCGAATCAAGGCAACTTCCCACTGGAAACGTGAAAGAGTTGCTCATCCAGAAAAGAATCATGAATTGGAAGATTTAGAGAAGATTTAGCCATCAACCTTGATAGGTAGCTGGCAACGACATTGTCGGAGCCTTTCTTGTCCTTGATTTCAATGTCAAATTCTTGGAGGAGTAAAATCCATCTTATTAAGCATGGTTTGGTTTCCTTTTTCAACAAGAGATGCCTTAGAGAAGCATGATCGGAAAACACAATCACCTTTGATCTTAAGAGATATGACCGAAATTTATCAACGGCATACACTGCGGCAAGTAAACTCCTTCTCCGTAGTGTAGTAATTTAGTTGAGCTCCCGAAAAAGTTTTACTTGCATAGTATATGGCACATTGAAGTTTACAACAAGCAGCCTTCATACAACAGAGAAGAATTCAGGATAACATTATAATGGCACATGAGTTGCTGAGAGGCTTTGGTGCAAAAAAGGCTAAGCCTAGGTTGGCTTGGAAGATTGATTTAAGGAAAGCCTATGATACCGTGCAGTGGTCTTTTCTTTTAAAACTGTTGCAATTGTTTGGCTTTGGAAATAAATGGATCAATTGGTTTCACATGTGTATATCTTCAGTATGGTTCTCTGTTATTGTTAATGGTTCTCCCTATGGTTATTTAAATAAGACAAGTTCCATTGAGCTCACTCCCTCTCCCTGGCAAGTTTCAAAGTGCATGAACTTGATGATACATCTATTTTGATGATATAATTTCTCCATCTTTAAAGAGAAGGGAAGAGTTGGTGTGGACCAAAAATGTGTGCGAATATGTTTCTCGTCAATAAATAAAAAATAAAACAGTTGAAAGTACCTGGTCGCAATAACTTTTTTCCTTTGGATCTGTTTGGTTAGATGCAAACTAATGGTGGAAAATGAAAATAAAAGAAAGAAAAGTGAAGTGAAGCGAAGAAGAAAATTCAAGTTTCCACCTCAATTTGGTTAGCATGAAAATTTTGCAAGGAAATATAGAAAATTGTCATTTTATGGGTTTGATTAGAATGAAACTTACCATAAAAGAAAAGGAGCAAGAAATCAAATTTTTCTTGTGTTTTTTGGAAGAAAATTTTATGAAAAAAATAAGTGGTTCAGAAAAGTGATTTTAAACACACTTACTCACACAAATATTGTGTGCGAGTGTATTTCTTGTCAAATAATAGAATCGGAGTCGGATTCCAAGTTCAACTCCAACTAAACCCTTTGTTATCTTATGAACCTTTAGTAAGTAAGTTTGTCATATAACCTTTAGTTAGTTCGTCAATCAAAACACAAAATGAACTTAATCAGAGTGAATGACATGAACAGCACAATTCATTTAGACGATAAAACCTAATTGGCCAGAGTTTTTCAACATCAACATCACGACTGACTTTGCAAACCCAAAAAGTACAACAACATGAAAAATATAACAAAATACCAAAACTAAGTTGCACTAAAATCATAACCGAAACTACAAAAGCAACCCAAAAAAAAAAATCAAGAATATGTTAAATAAGAAAACAATTTCATGTGTGTGAAATAATCAAAATAATAAACACAAAGGTAATTAGATGGTACCAACAGCCAGATGTCATGAATAGGGGCTATTAATTTTCTCAGTTTTGCTTCACCATCACAAAGAAACATGTAAATTCAGAAACTTCAAAATTTCACAATCTTTCAGGTCTCACCCATTCAAATGGGATTGACACATAAATAGATTTCATGGTTTTACAATTTCGGGATTCGAAGTACAGTAACTTACAACAAGTGCCAACTGTTCTAAAGCATTTCAAGTACTCCCGCATTTTATAATTATGAAATTTACTTACAAATCTAAATGCAGATTATTTGAATCAGAGGTAGAGCTTTTCAAGTTTAGTAAACTTGAGTGCACCTGACCAGACAGTCTTGAGAGGATCAGTCTTGCAATATTCTCGGCCGCGACAGCACTTGTCTCCATGGTGCTGGCTGCATTCTCGAAAGCATTCACGTAGTACAAATGCTGACCATCCAAAATAAAAGGTGCAAACTCTTCAGGAGCTTTATAATGAGGGTACGCACCCCAATCTATGTGAATCGTCTCCCTCCTCACACTACCAATGGCAGCACCAACAACGATTAGAACCCAACAGAATGTGGATATGTTGGATTATGTTAGCAGTTCATAAATTGCATGCTGACAATATATAAATGCAACACAATCTGATTAGTCCACAAAAAATTTGAGCATGCCAAAATGGGTATATTAATGTTCCTATGTTAATTGGTTTGCGTACTCCACTAACCACTGAAGAACTCCAGTTCCCTAGTAGTTTCACAGCAATCTCTTTTATGTTTTTAATCATTTATTTAATTATTTATTTTTGGGTTTGAAAGTTCTCATAGTTTTATGATAAGGCAAAACTAAAATTCATGGAAGCTTTAGTTTAACTAAGTTGCCCTCACATTTAAAATAGTTTTTTTAATTTTCTTCACACACATTTCAAATGCAAAAAATGACATTCTAATCAATTTTTTTTTTCCTGATGTAAGCAACTTTTAATGTTGATCAATCTTAATCATTTACATAAGGGGGAAGTATCACCAAACCATAAACCTAAAGGGTAGCGAGTACAATGGTTGATACATAATGGGGTCTCTCTAATATCCTAAACTAGAGAGGAGGTCAGTGTAATTTTCTCGATGAATAACCCTTCGGAATCAAATGCATGAGTTTCTCAAGTACTTTTGAGCCACCAGGAACTACATGGCAGGTCATCAGGATCTACATCTTAATCTTGTGTCAAATATCGTACCCTAATCATTCACAAATTATTATCCGGATACTTAAACTAATGGGAATAGGTAAGTCGAGAAATGATTCATAAAGGCTCAAGATTGGGTGCATCAATCATCCTATAATGCAAAGAAGCTTCATATAAAGAAAACAGAAAAGAAAGGAAAAACAAAAAGGATAGTGACTCTTGTTTTTCTACAATAAGCAACTGATAGTTACATGCATACCTAAAGATACGATCCAGTAATGTATCTGCCATTGGTTCACGGGAAAATATCTTGTAAGTCATATCCGTTTCATTGTGTTGCTTGAGAACTGATATGCTTGAGAATGGAAGCTCAGGATCCTCTACGGTGCCCACCAGTTCAGGAATTTCAGATACAGCCACAAAGCCAAAATACACCTTGACACGGCATAATCATAGAACGTTAAAATAATAGAAACACTATAAGAAAATAAGCAAAACAATAGGTGTGAAACACAAGTAAAGATGCCCTTTAAGATGAACAGTATCTGTGACTACTAGGATACTCACAGGATTCAAAAGGCCTCTCACAAAAGTCGCATGCGTGTGCTGTAATTTCCTATCAGGAATTGAGATTGCGGGAAAGAAACGAATATTCAGCTCATCTAAAGGTGTCGCAACTACTGCGACTGTACATGTGTAAGAATTTCCTTTGGTGGAGTTGAGCTCGTAGTAATCTCCAAGGTAAGAAATGGACTCAATTTCTTCATTGAGGTGCAACGACACATCTGAACGATTAATTAGTCCAAGAGCCATCTGCCAGTTCCCTCCTTCAATTGACCATAACCCTCCCCCAGATCCTGCCAAGGAAACTGCACCTGCAAGTCCACTAATGGCGACACTTTGACCATAATTGATTCTCGTGATTACCTGCACAGACACACAGATTTCAAAATCTGTGATGAATTTTGACAACATTGAGATAGTATTCCAACTTTGTAACACTTGAAATTTTAGTACTTTCAAAGACTCCACCATCCCAAATATTTTCTCAAAACCGGTAGGAATCACCAAATCGGGATTGCAGTAACTTGTTTAGGGTGTTTTTCTTCCAATTACTATCCAATATTAATGAAAAAAACTTTCCCAACATTGAAAATGATGATGCCCCTTGTGCACAAACCTCTACTATCCTTGCCATGTCCTCATGTTAAGTGCATCCATCCGATGAAACATATATATTCTTACATATATTATGTATATACAGATATGCCTCGACGACTCTATATTTGTCAATGCTTATTATGGGCTTTATAAAACATACCATTGTCAAGTTAAAACTTGTTAGAATCAGGCAGAAGGGGTGGCAATGAGGCAATATTTCTTACAGAAGTTCTTGGTATCTTCCTCTGTCATTTTCCTTTCAAAACAGAATCATAAAGATTTATGCTAACCATTTGAATTGGAAAAATAAGATTACCAAATGGTCATTTTGAGCAATATGATACAGAGGTATTGTTCAATAATTGTGTACTTCAGCTAAACTGAGCTTTACTTATAGAAAAGCCTTAAAGTACTAATGGTTGGAAAATATAGGTTTTTCTTTGAGAATGTTGGTGTTATAGAAAGCAAAATAGGTTAAAAAGACGAGGGAAGTTCGATATATAATCAGAAGTGGAAGAACATGCAACTAAATCGAAGCGAAAACTTGGCAATATCATGTGCATGACAAATTGTAATGACCTAAAATAGAAGGTTTCAATATTGAACAGGATACTTAATCAAGATAAAGAGGATTGAAGATTAAGAGAATCTTAAGGCTCGGGAAAAGCAACATTAACTAGATATTTGTTGTGAAATTTATATGTTGGTATTTTCATAAAGGTTGCTAAGTGATTTATTTATTTGTAAGGAAAATAAGATTCTAACAGGAGATTAGTTGCGCAAAAAGCAACATTAACTGAATATTTGTAGTGAAATTTATAAGTTGCTATTTTCATAAAGGTTGTTAAGTGATTTAATATTTATTTGTGAGGAAAACAAAATTTTAACTGGAGATTAGTTGTGTGATTTGCTATTCTATTTATCACACTCCGAATGCTCGGGTTTGGTAACTCGGGGCCTGGGTGTGACACTTGACCACTTTAAATCCGAAATGGTCAGCTCTTGTATCAATATAGACCTCTCTCTCGATTGAGGGTCCCTCATACGAGCCACCAAAATTAGAAATCTAAATTAAGTGGTTCTGTATTTAAAATAGAGGAAAACAACTTAATATTTCAATATAATAAATTTTTATGCTATCCATTTTAAACCATCATCCATTCAATTGGTGTGTAGAGAGTGATCACTGATGACAGGGCGATATGTCGACTCTTTATCTTATTTTATTTCAAGCAGCTATGGTGATGATCTAACCACTGTCCAACCTGTCCAATTGCCTAGGATTCCAACTCATATTTTGAAAATCCATTTAGACGCCCTAAAGCAAAAACAATAGTTTATATAATGCTTCCAAATGAAATTCTCTCCGGCAAACAATAGTACTAAAGATTACCTGCAATTGGTATCAGGCAATTGGTCATGTTCATTAAACTCCAATATATTACTAAGGATAGTATTACTAATTAAGAAGTGAATAACATCTGAGTTTTACATAGACTAAAAAATTTAGAGTTCTCACCGTAACAAGCTCCTGCATCAACAAAGGAGACAACCCAGCATCAACCAATTCATCTTGCAATGTCCGTGTTGTTAAATTGTATAAACCCGCCCATTTCAGCATCTCATCCACAGTCTGGAACACCGGCCTCGAACCATCATAATACTTTAAGAAATTATTGACAGTACTCTGCAACAAATAAGACACCATGCTACATATAAGAACTAAAATGTTGAGCAATTATATATATTTAATTTTATTAAATTTGACAAAATGACCATCTAATTAACAAACATGCCCTCCTGCCCTGCTTTCTCTACAAAATTATTAATCATACCCACCCTTTTACTTTGCTATAAATCCAAAATATTGAATTTCATTGAAGCAAATGTAGATTTTAAGTCTAGTGTTAAATTTCTCTTTGATTGGTCTGAATTTTCATTTGATTTTTCTTTTACATTTTAGCTAAACATTGATGTTAGACTCAGTTCAATTTAGGGTTTTGTTTTGGCATGTCATAAATTCTAAATTTTGTTTTTATGATTATACTTGTATACTTGTATTGTGTGCTTCTTGTTGAGATGTTTTATGGATTTATACAGTTCTTTTTCTATATTTAAAAATAAAACATGTTACTTTAAATGCATTTTTTTTTTCTTCAATATGAATATAACATGCTAATTCTTATTCACGAAATATTTTTCTGGCTTCCGACTATATATAGTATATTTACACATAGTACACACCAACACAAGCATACATGCATATACATATAGAGAGAGAGTGTGTGTGTGTGTGTGTGAGAGAGAGAGAGAGAGAGGCGAACCTCGACGAAGTTACTCATTCTGAAGAGTGAGAGGCCGTAACGAACAAACATGAGGATGGAATTAGTGAGCGACACGATTTGCTGAACGAAAGGAAGCTTCGAATCCGAAGTTAGGGTTTTGAATGTGAACTTATGGCCGTCCCAAATTCCAAGCGCGAGTGAAGAAGAAGAAGAAGAGGGTTTCTTGATTTTCAGACCGAGAGATTTAGTGAAATTCAAGGCGTGATAGTTCTTGGGATGAAGAATGGAGGCACCAGCTTCAAAGGTCTGGCCGGCGACGGAGACGGTGGCCATCCTGCCGCCGACGACGCCGTTTCGTTCGAAGATTCGGATTTGGCCGATACGGGAAGGATCGTCGTATTGCCGGAGAAAGTGGGCGACCGATGAGCCGGCGATGCCACTTCCGATGATGCAGACATTGGTAGGTTCAGCTGATGATGATGGAAGTGAGAGAATTAGGAGAGAGACAATGAAAATAGTTAACACCTTCTGCTTCATTTGGTTGGCTATTACTATTCTTCACTTTTGCTATCTATATTTATCTAAACCATAAGGAGTACAATGATACCACATTACCTCATTGATTAGCTTATCAAATTTATAAATAAAATAGTGTATACAAACTATCAATGAATCAAAAGTTGACTTTGGAACAACACCTACATACGAACAACTTTTTATTATAGAATATAACATCCATTCAATGAAAAGTTGATTTTTATAACTCAGCTGATCCGTGTTTATTATATGTTTTAATAATTAAAGGTTGAATTATTGAATGAAAATATATAAATTTGTAAAAAATGTATAAATTTTTATTATTTTTTTTACTGATAAAATTAAATATTATAATAAAAAATACTAATAACTGTCCTAAACTCACAAGGTAGTTTTCTCCCAAATAATAGAGATATATATTATATTATATTATATTATATTATATATATAAATATTATAATAAAAAAATACTAATAACTGTCCTAAGCTCACAAGCGTATTTTTCTCCCAAATAATAGAGATATATATTATATTATATTATATATATATATATATATATAGAGAGAGAGAGAGAGCAGGGTGGCCTATAAGATCATCTCCAATGCTAAAAGTCATTTTCACATGTCAAATCTATATTTTAACAAGTGTTACGGTGTCAAAATGTTACATTTTAACAATTCTGTTCCAATGTTGCATTTCATGCAAAATGCTATTTTTTGACATAACCATCATTCTTTTTCAACTACCATTCCCACCATTCATATTTGCATCAGTAATATTAATATTAGGCACATTTCAAGTCAAGTTGTAGATATTAGAAAGAAACTAAAATTAAACCTAATTAAAAAGAAGTAAAAATCTAAAATATCTGGTCAAAAAAGGACCAAAAAACAAAAAAAAAAAATAATTTTTTTATTAATTTTTTACCACTATTTGTGAATTAATTTTTTTATATAATATTTTTTTTCTTTTTCGGAAATTTATATATATATATTATATATATATATATATGTATATTATATATATTTGATTATATTATTATTATTAAAAATATATATATTTTTAGGGCAAATCATTTCAGCCTCCCCAACCGCCTCCATCTCTATTCTCGTTCTCAACTCTGAGAACTTGCCCTCTATTTCTCTCTCTCTCTCTCTCTTCAACTGCAAACTACAAAATCTACAAGAATCAGAAGTTCAAAACCCTTATATTTCAGTTTATCTATCTGTCTGCAAGAATCCAAAGTTCAAAACCTATTACCTATATCAAAACCCATATCGGCGTTATCATTTCAAATTGTTCAAAAAATCAAAACCCATATCTTTCAGTTTCCATTGCCCACTGTTCCAGTTCGGGTTCGCCGTTCGCAAGCTTCAGCCGCTGTCTCTCAACTCTCAAGCTTGCCCCCCCCCCCCCCCCCCTCTCTCTCTCTCTGCGCAACTGCTAACTTGTATGTATGGGTTTTGTTTTAATTTTTTTTCTAAATCAACTAATCAAGGTCTGTAATTCTTGATTTTGTGTATGCATATATATATATATATATATCAAGGTCTGTAATTCTTATTTTGTAATCAAAAGTTCAAAACCCATATATTTCTGTTAGATTTGGCACAAAATATAGAAATAGCTATTGCTATTTGTTTTGCTAGATTTGGCACAAAATATGGCAAAGGCAAATTTTGGCAGCCAATATAGCAGCCCATTGGAGAGTCCAATTTTAACCCACCTGCTATATTTTGAATTGGCAACTCATATGGTAACCCCATTGGAGATGCTCTAAGGTCATAATATAACATTATATGTTAGGAGGAGCCATGTGGGAAGTAGCTACACCTACATGGGCCCCTTTCTTTCTGTTGTTGCCTACTTATCATTTTTTATCTTGTGAAATGAGTTAGAAATAAGTTCCTAAGAGGACATGTTAATCCGCCCAAGTTGTAACCCAACATGAACATATTTCTCTATTGTTTCTACTCCTTTCACTGTAGTAGTCTCTCTGTTTATAGAGTTGGGGGTTTTTTGCTCTGATGTCGTGGTACAAAGGGATGGTTTCCTTGGCATCTCCCATCCCTCATTTCTGTGGGTGGTTCGCTCGGACGGCTTCCTGTCTCCGATGGCTTGTTAGATCACGTGTTTTGGTCGGCGGCCAAAAGAATGGCCCTTCTGCGTCGATCTTCCCTTTTGATCCTGATATTGTGTTAGTTGTTCTTTTTTTAGTTCTAATTTTCTATATGTGTTGTGTTGGTGTTTGTCTAAGCTTGGTGTTCGATTAGGTTTCCTTGGCTCCCTCCGTGGTAGGCGATGAGGATCCCCGGTAGCCTTGGCCTATGGGGCTAGGGTGGGTTTTGCTGCTATTTTTCCTCTAGTGGGTTTGTGCTTGATGCCTGCGGTTTTGATCTCCCGGGGTATTCCCGTGTCTCTGTGTTGGCTTTTGGTGTGGCAGAGACATCCCCGCTGCCTTCCCAACGGCACCGGCAATTTCAGCCTCAACGAGGACGACGTTTATCAGATATGGAGTTTACCGATCTCTTTTCGGTTTGTTCTTAGCCATGTTGCTATCACTATTGGGAGCCCTCTAAATAATTCCTTCCCGGAAACACATGCCCCTTACTAGATTTCTTTAGGCCATGAAATTACTTCTCAAATCCCTCTGTGGGATAATTATCAATCGTTGCCGTCTTGGTCATTAGGGACGATGTCTCACTCTCACGGTGTCCTATGTTTATGGTGTTTTCCGATGATGGTGGTGTTTTCTGATGATTGCGTCCTGCTGACGTTGTTCCTTTGGCGTATGGCTCACGCTGGGTGTGCAGAGGTGGGTCCAGGCGAAGCTTCTGGTTCTTGTGATTGGGCCTCTTCATTCATGGTTTTGTTTGGCTAGGCCTTAGGTCCAATCCAAGTTAATGCTCTTGTGGACTTTAAGTCTAGTGTGTTAAGATATGGGTTTCTTGTAATGTAGATACTTTTGGTTATAAGTAATAATATGTAATCTCTCGTGTTTCCCAGGCCAAAAAAAAAAAAAAAAAAAGTTCTTAAAGTTAGCTTTTCCAACATTAAAAACAAAAGGAAGTCAAACTTTTTTCAAAAAGTAAAGAAAAATAATAAAATAGTATTATCAATGAAAAATACTGAGTAATTTGTTATATTTTTACTTTTATAAATTCTCACTCTAATATTAAGTGTGTTAAATTTATATAAATTCTAAAAAGTTATATATATATAAACTCTTTTTATACATGTATTATTTTTAAATATATATTTAAAAATTTAAATTGAGTTTTGAAAATGAATTTTGTTGAAAATAGAAATTAAGTCTTTGAAATGAAGATATATGTTGTTTATTGGGCAATTTAAATTAACAATCCTTGCGGTTTGCTCTTATTACAGACAGATGAAACGTTGGGGAAGCATGGAAATTTATTTAGTTTAGTTGATTCTGCTTAAGATGTTACTGCATCATTTTTTTTTTTTTTTCTGTCATTTGTGTTTGTTGCAAACCCATTTGTTCTTAGTTTAATTTCATTTCAGTTAAGCACTCCCTTGACCAATCTGGTTGTCTAAGCTTACATTATTTGTTCTTCTCTCCTACTCGAAAGTGCTAAGCTAGAAAACAGAACAACAATACATCCTTTAGCTAACCATTCTTTGATTTCTTAATTAGCCTTTACTCCGCAATTCTTCCTTAGCCAATTCAATACCTTAGCTTTGAAAAAATTAGCAAGCTTGCCTAAAGACTCTATTCAACCCCTCTAATGTCATTGTTTGGGCAATAGTGCCTCCAAACTATAAATTCCTCTTAGTGGGTTGCTTACATAATTTCAACTTGATTTGATAATCTTTTCATTGATCTCTATTAATAGCTTAATAGTGAGTTCTAGTGTGTTAGGTCACCAAAGAAGAAGAATTTAATGAATTGAGGGGCCCTAAATGACTACCGGTTGGTCTATTTCACCAGAGGTGGGATTCCGAGATTTATTTATACTTGGGAAAGGTTTTATACACCCCAAGACGCCCATACCAAGTACGGTTACCTATTTTTTGTGTTAAATTCCATTTTTATTCATACGATTGTGTAATGATTAACAATAAGGTGCATGCTTAGAAATTTACTTTATGGTGATGATGATGGAAATGATATGAAGAATAAGGGATGATATGGTGAATGACGGTCCCAATAAAGGAATGAGGAGAATGATGAGGGACCTGACTAAGCTCAAGGTTGACTTAAGCTACCCACATATCTCATTGCGTAGGAATCAACTCATAACGTAGTTCAGATTAGTGTAATGACCCGGTCATTTTTCTCCCTTTCCTTTTTCTCAAATTTTACGGATAAATTTGTTCCGTTTAATTTTCTTTTCTGAGTTCAGTTTCTCATCTTATAGTGTTGTCTTAAGGGCTAGAAAATAGTTTCTGAGACTCTTTCATTTGGATTGACAACTTCCTTTAAGGACCAAGTCATTTCCACATTTTTTGTTTTTCGACACTATTCACTTTTCATCCTTTTCCTATTCTGTCTTTTCCCCATTTGTCACTTTGTTGGCACAACCTCACTTTTCATGCTCGGAGTTGGTTTTTGACTTCACATGCCTTCATCCTAAGTGGTTTCCACGAAATACGTATCTTTACTTTTATAAGAAAGTACTCTGGTTGCTCTCGGTGTCCATAGGGGCATGGATGAACAGTTTTTCAGAATCTTTTTCTTTTCTTGTGGTGTTTTTCATAAATATCTTTTGAAGATATTTTATTTTAGGGGTTTTTAAGAAAATATTTTTGGAAGATATTTTCATTCTGGGCCATTAGTGCAGTTTTCACTTTTTGGAGGGCCATTGTGCAATTAACGAAAGTTATTGCAAAATACCTTGTTTTGAGCTTGGATTCTCGTATAGGATTCATTGTCACATTTCATCAAGTCGTGTACTCTTAGAATTTTCTCCCAGTCGTTTTCCCCAGTTTTAGGGATTTCTGGACCCGGTTGCTGCCGAAATTGTTTGGGGCATATCTCTCTGCTCGGGACTCAATTTTTTATGTCATTTCTTTCGTTGTTCATATTTTCTCATTTGGAATGTTTTTCATTCATGGAGTTTCACCGTTTGAGTGTGTCTGCTCA